TTCTGCCCCAGCATAACGAAATCTGGGGGGCCCCGCCCCTCCCTATGATGGGATCCACGTCGAAAACATTTAAGCTGCCGTGGTGGATACACGGAGGTGATGGGTTAATCGGTCTCTGACTCGAGGGTGGTGATTGTTAAGTCGGCCGCCTCTATTTGCGGCTTGCATGCTTGCAGGGGACGGATGGATGGATGGATGGATCGGTTTAGGCTGGCCCATGGTGGTTAAGCATAGTTCCGCAGGACGCCTTCGATTTCGCATCGTATCGTAAGGCTTGACGGCAGGGGAAGAAGGTTCAATCGCAATGGCAGGCTGGAGAAACGGAGAAAAAATGCCAATTCTCCGAGGTTCTGCTGTATCTTATCCATGCGCTCCGCCGTTGTTGTATTCGAATAGGTCTGAGATTCGGGCGCCTTCTTGACACGTGGAGTACGATGAATACCAACTGCCCAGGTACCTTACTTACCCTTAGGTACCTCCCGAGGTACCTCCCGAGGCAAGGCAGGTCCCTGGTCGGTGATTCAGTGCCATGATGCTCGGCTTGGTCTCACCCAGCAGCTCGGGACGGACACGCTCGAAGACGCGATTTCTTCCCATCAGCCCAAAATTGCAGCACGGATAGCTCGCTGCAGAAGCTCAATGAGGCAACACCACGTCTTGGCATCGAACAGCCGTTATCACAGCCGTTCATACGCTGGTGGAGCCAGGCTGTACCCCGCAAGACACGGCAGCAGCGACCGGGAGGTCGAGGTTGCGGGGCAGGCGCCCCCCCCCAGATGCGGCACTAAGCCCGAAATGGCCGCCAAGGGGGTCAAATTTGTGATGCTACCACGAACGCCTGCTTGACTTGACCCCTTCTACCAACCACACGACCTTGGCTCGGTCATGTCGAAATGAATATATGGACTGTCGTCTGTCCCTGATCATCCATGGATTTTTTTCTCGCAAGAGCATCAGGATCATCTCGACGATCACTGTCCAGAGCCATCCATCATCCACCTCCCTCACATCCCCTCTGCTCACGACTTGGCGTCAGACAGTGGAGGACGACTCGTGCCCTCCAGCCCACTCGCCACCGTTTTCACCTAACGTGAGAGCTATCGGGCGCCAAACTGCTTCATCCCTTCTCTCGCCTCTCTGCAATCTCAACCCTCGCGGTTGAAACCCTCTTTGCCGTCATGTCGTCGTCTGATAAGGAACGCCCCAACGACCGCCACATCGAGGCGACTCTTGATAGCCACGGCCTCAAGACAGTCACCGACGAAGATGGCAATATCCGCCTTGCTGCCGGCAACGGCCAGGTCGCAACCGATCAGTACGGAAACCCCCTGATCGAGTTTGATCCCGTGGCTGTGAAGAAACTGCGTTGGAAGCTCGACCTCATGACCGTCCCGACCGTCTCCTTCCTCTACCTGTTCTGCTTCATCGACCGCGCCAACATTGGCAACGCACGCATCGCCGGCATGGAAAAGGATCTCGGGTTCCAGGGCTACGACTACAACGTTGTCCTCTCCGTCTTCTACATCTCGTACATCATCTTTGAGATCCCCGCCAACATTTGCTGCAAGTGGATGGGCCCCGGTTGGTTCCTGCCCGCCACGTCCCTCGCCTTTGGCGCCATCTCCATCGCCACCGGCTTCGTTCAGTCCCAGGCTGCCCTCTGCGGTGTGCGCTTCCTTCTTGGCATCTTCGAGGCTGGCATGCTGCCTGGCATCGCCTACTATCTCTCTCGATGGTACCAGCGCGCCGAGCTGACCTTCCGTCTTTCGCTCTACATGGTCATGGCACCCCTCGCCGGTGCCTTTGGTGGCCTGCTCGCCTCCGCCATTCTGACGCTCGACCACTTTGGCTCTCTTCACACCTGGCGCATGATCTTCGCCATCGAGGGCATCATCACCGTCGGCCTCGCTCTCATCGCCTTCGTCACCCTCACCGATCGGCCTGAAACCGCCCGCTGGCTGACCCAGGAAGAGAAGGACCTCTGCATTGCCCGCCTCAAGGCCGAGCGTGTCGGTGCCACCGAGGTCCTCGACAACCTCGACCGCAAGCGCCTGTGGCGCGGCATGACCAGCCCCGTCACCCTCCACATCGCCGTCATCTTTTTGTTCAACAACATCACCGTCCAGGGCCTCGCCTTTTTCCTGCCAACCATCGTCCGCACCATCTACCCCGAGTACACCGTCGTCCAGCAGCAGCTCCACAGTGTCCCACCCTATGCTGTGGGCGCCGTCTTCGTGCTCGCCTTCCCCGCCCTCAGTTGGTATCTCGACCGCCGCCAAGTGCTCATTGCCTTGAGCGCACCCCTCGTCATGACTGGCTACATCATGTTCCTCGCGTCTGATACGGCTACCGTTCGCTATGCCGCCACCTTCCTCATCGCCAGCTCGGCCATGGTCATGGGACCCATGTCCAATGCGCACATCAGTGCCAACGTTGTCAGCGATACGGCGCGTAGCAGTGCCATTGGTTTGAACGTAAGTCTGCCCTGCTTCTCTGCTTCCTGTGATATTTCGAGACACACCGCTCACATGGATGTGTTTCAGGTCATGTTCGGTAACGTTGGTGGCCTCATCTCGACCTGGAGCTACCTCGTCAAGGACGCGCCCAACTTCCCCATCGGCAACGGCCTCAACTTGGCTGCGGCGACCATGATTCTGATCATTGCTACGGGCGGTTGGTTCTGGATGAAGTGGGATAACAAGAAGAGGGATGGCCGCAATGTCGAAGAGGAGCTTGCAGGCCTCTCGCCTGGGCAGGTGTCCGATCTCGACTGGAAG